AGCAGCTGGGGCTCTGCTGGGTAGGTCCTCGCACCTCGGCACTGCGGGGACCGACCCGGCAGCACCCCAGCTACATTACCCCAGGTGTCCCCAAGTCACCTGCTGCTGACCCCCCCAGGAAGCCCGGGGCAGAGTGTGCCCCCCCCCCCCAGCAGACCAGGGAGACGCAGAGCGGCTTTTCTCGCTGCGGAGGACGCGGGCGGCGGGACCGCGGCGCATCTCGGCGGTCCTGCCGCCTGCGTCCTCCACGGCGAGAAAAGCTGCTCCGGGCCCCCTGGTCTGCTGGGGGGGAGGGGGAGGCGCTAGCTCCACGTCTCCCTGGTCTGCTGGGGGGAAGCACCCCCCGCGCTGCCGGAGGCGGCGACAGTGGGGGAGGCACCCCGCCCTAGCTGCGTCCCCCCCCTTCGTAAATTGGGGTCCGACTTAAGTTGGATCGATGTAACCCGGGGACTGCCTGTATACTATTACATCCCTAGTTATAATGATAGCAGCCATCAGTGTTCCCTATAACATCTTCTATTCTTGGGCAGGATGAATTTTCTTTTGGGCGGGTCGAAATTTTTTATATGCAAAACTAATATTGAGGTAGGGTGTGGATGTGCACCGCCAATACAAACAAAAAACCACCTACATTTTAGATAGAGAAGATCTGGAAGAGACCTGGAGAGGTCATCGAGTTCAATCCCCTGCCCTCATGGCAGGACCCAGTACCATTTAGACCACTGGTCCCCAACATGGTGCCTGTGGGCACCATGGCGCCCGCCGGGGCATTTATGTGCACTCGCCAAGTGACAAGGGCTGGCCCAAGCCATTCTTGCGCCCAGGGCGCGCGGCACATGCACGGCCCCCACCCTAGCAGCCTCAAAAGGTTGGGGACCACTGATCTAGACCATCCCTAATAGGTGTCTATCTAACCTGCTCTTAAACATCTCCAGAGAAAGAGATTCCACAACCTCCCTAGGCAATTTATTCCATTTTTTATCCACCCTGACACTTAAGGAAGTTTTTTCTAATGTCCAACCTAAACCTCCCTTGCTGCATTGAAGCTCATTGCTTCTTGTCCTATCCTTAGAGTCCAAGGAGAACAATTTTTCCCTCCCTCCTCCTTGTGACACCCTTTTAGATACTAGTAACCGCTATCATGTCCCCCCTCAAACTTCTCCTTTCCAAACTAAACAAGCCCAATTCCTTCACCCTTCCCTCATAGTTCATGTTCTCTAGACCTTTAAACATTCTTGTTGCTCTCCTATGGACCTTCTCCAATTTCTCCACACCTTTCTAGTGTGGTGCCCAGAACTAGACACAATATTCCAACTGAGGCCTAATCAGCGCAGAGTAGAGTGGAATGACTTCTTGTGTCTTGCTCACAAAACTCCTGTTAATGCATCCCAGAATCATGTTTGCTTTTTTTGCAACAGTATCACGCTATTGACTCATACTTAGCTTGTGGTTCATTATGACCCCTAGATCCGTTTCTGCAGTATTCCTTCCTAGACAGTCGCTTTCCATTCTTTGTGTGAGAAATTGATTGTTCATTCCTAAGTGGAGTACTTTGCATTTGTCCTTATTAAACTTCATCCAATTTACCTCAGACCATTTCTCCAAATCATTTTGAAGTATGACCCTATCGTCCAAAGCAGTTGCAACCCCTTCGAGCTTGGTATCCTCTGCAAACTTAATAAGCGTACTCTCAATGCCAATATCTAAATTGCTGATGAAAATATTGATCAGAACCAGTCCCAAAGCTGATCTCTGTAGAACCCCACTTCTTATGCCTTTCAAGCGTGACTGTGAACCATTGATAACTACTGTTTGGGTATGGTTATCTAACCAGTTATCAACCCACCTTATAGTCTCTATGTAGATGTATTTCCCTAGCTTATGTATAAGGTCAGATGAAGACTTTAGGAAATGCTTTACTAAAGTCTAGGTATATCATATCTACCACTTCCCCCCATTTATAAGACTTGTTATCCTATCAAAGAAAGCCGTCAGATTGGTTTGATGTGATTTGTTCTTGACAAATCCATGCTGGCTGTTACTTATTACCTTGTTATCTTTCAGGTATTTGCAAATAGATTCCTTAACTATTTGCTCCATTATCTTTCCTGGCACAAAAGTTAAGTTGACTGATCTGTAGTTTCTTGGGTTGTCCTTATTTCCCTTTTTTATAGATGGGCACTCTATTTGCCCTTTTCCAGTCATCTGGAATCTCTCCCGTCTTCCATGACTTTTCAAAGATGATAGCTAATGACTCACATACCTCTACTATCAGCTCCTTGAGTATTCTAGGATGCATTTGATCAGGCCCGGGTGACCTGAAGACATCTCACTTTCTAAAGTCCTTTTTCTGTAGCTCCTTAGGAGGTCAGTGTTATACTTATAAAAAGCACACAGGATCTTTTTCAAGAGGAAAAGGCAATACACTAGGTTTAGTACAAATACAGTTTTTTTGTTTGTTTTATCTTCTACACCTACCCCATTCCCACTAGCATTCACTATGTTAGGCATTCCTTCATCATCGGACTTCTTGGCGAAGACCTAAACAAAGAAGTCATTCAGCATCTCTGCCATTTCCAAGTTTCCTGTTATTGTTTCTCCCTCTTCACTAAGCAGTGGGCCTATCCTGTCCTTATACTTATTCTTGCTTCTAATATATTTATAGAATGTCTTCTTGTTTATAGAATTCTCTTTATATCTCTAGCTAGTTTGAGCTTGTTTTGTCCCTTTGCTTTTCTAATTTTGTCCCTGCATACCTGTACTGTTTGCTTACATTCTTCCTTTGTAATCTGTCCTGGTTTCCACTTTTTATATGACTCCTTTTTTATTTTTAGATCATGTAGAATAGTGATAGAAATGTAGCCGTGTTAGTCTGGGGTAGTTGAAGCAAAATACAGGACAATGTAGAATAGTTTGCTTTTGGGCCCTTAATGTCCCTTTGAAAAACTGCCAACTCTCCAGTTGTTTTCCCTCTTAGTCTTGCTTCTCATGGGACCTTACCCACCAGCTCTCGGAGTTTATTAAAATATGCCTTCCTGAAATCCACTGTCATTATTTTGCTGTTCTTCCTCCCTTCTACCATTCCTTAGAATCATGAACTCTATGATTTCATGATCACTTTCATCCAAGCTGCTTTTCACTTTCAAATTCTCAACCAGTTCCCCCCTATTCGTTAAAATCAAATCTAGAACAGCTTCCCCCAGTAGCACACTCAACCTTCTGAAATAAAAAACTGTCTCCAGTGTAGTCCAGGAACTTATTGGATAATCTGTGCCCCACTGTGTTAGTTTCCCAACATATGTCTGGATAACTGAAGCACCCCATCACCACGAAATTCTGTACATTGGATGATTTTGTTAGTTGTTTAAAAAAAATGCCTCATCCACCTCTTCTACCTGTGTAGATGGTCTGTAGCAGAATCCTAACATAACATCACCCTTGTTTCTTACCCCTTTTAACCTAACCCAGAGACTCTCAACAAGTCTTTCTCCTATGTCCATCTCCACCTGAGTCCAAGTGTATACATTTTTAATATATAAGGCAATACCTCCTCCCTGCTTTCCCCATCTATCTTTCCTGAGTAATCTGTATCCTTCTACAGCAATATTCCAATCATGTGTGTTAGACGATAGATAAGATAGATGCCCCAGAACAAATTAACACATGGTTTCAGGGTTTGTAGACAGATACATGTTTCAAAGAACTGGCAAATAAGGTTTCATCCTACAAAACAACTAGCATCACACCTAGTACTTGGTACTTCTGACTCATAAGAGCCAGAACTCTACCACATAGCAAAGATCTAGCCTTAATGCAATACAACATACCATGTATTAATTAGTAACAAAGGATCTAAAAAAAAAAATCATTAAGACCAGAGTTTGAGATATCTGCAACACTCCAAAAAAATTCTGTTAAAAAGAATATTTTTCTTGCTTATTGTAAGACATTAACACCGATGTAAACTTTGTTTGAAATGTAATCATGCAAATATCTTGACACACCCCATGCAGTCAGCCCCTTATCTGCCTTCCCAGGAGGCTTGAGTGCGCAGAGTTCCTGCTCCTCTCTCCTTGCACAGATGGGATTCTCCAAACTCCCCTCCCCTCTGACTCCACCTCAGCCAACCACCCACTCCCCACAGTCACTTATTGTCTCATTATCTCGCTTTTTATTATTTGCTCTGAGAGCTACTCCATTTCTAGCACAGAGCGGCCCCATTTTTCTGCTTGCTCAGTGAGACAAAGCCCTTCCCCCTCTGCTGGTCAGTTGAGCTCTTTGCCTTCACGGGAGCTTTGAACTTATGAGCAGAGCTCAGAAAACAGTTGTGTAGCCGTGTAGCTTACAGGGAACTTAGGCAGCCACTGTCTATATTTTACCTTATAGAACAACTTGGTAGCTTCATCATGTAAACATGGATTCCAATTTTGATCTGAGGTCTAAAAAGGAAAAAAGGTTTAGACTTAGTACAATCAAATCACAGAGTCTAACAGATCACACAACAAAAGGGAAAACACTGTATGGGCCTAGCTCAATAACCCCTGAAGTTAATGGACATGGGCTGGCTTTTAGAGCTATTTGTACAGAATCTCATACAATGGTGCCCATGACTGGAATTCTTTCTGAACACACTTTGTATTCTATATTGTAACTGGAATCAACATATTTGAAAGTATTAAAAAAAGTCAAAACATTTAAATAAATGTCATTCTATTATTGTCTAACTGCACGATTAATTATTTTTAAGTGTCTGACAGAACCCCCCACCCCCCAAAAAACGCCATTTACGTTAGCATACTGATTTCAATTCATTAAGCATTGTCCCGCAGGAAATTAAACAATATTCACATGGAAACTTCACTTTTATGATCTATAGCAGCTGATTAATAAAAGCAACTCAATAGACAGCACACCATGCCATATTAAGTGGGCTCTCAGAACAAAAACAGCATCTGCCACGAGTGAAGCAATAATACCTTCTCTTCACTTCACTGGAGTGCGTGTTTTTCCTAAGGACATGTCCACACTATGAGATAAGGTTGAATTGATTAAGGTTGACTTTGTAAGCACTAGATTTTGTAAAGTCAAGGGTGCATGCCCCCCCAGTGTGCAAGAATTCAAAACAGTTCAAAGCAGGGCATCCCTAGTTAGTTGGCTACCATCAACTATGAGAGTGATGCACCTGGAGGTAGCTATCCAACAGCACTTGCACCCCTTTGCATTCTGGGTTATGCTCCCAACGCACACTGGGACCAAAACTGTGCAGAGGGAGGTTCTAGGTACCCATTATCCACACCCCATACTGCACTCATTTCCTCCCTCGACCTCCACTTAAGACCGAGAGCAAACAGTCTTTTCACACTCTTTTTTGCCTTGGTTGTCTGCGCAGACATCATAGCGGCATAAGCATGGAACACATCATCGATCCTGTTGAGCATCAAAGCATGATGTTGATGATGTTAACCTTAGCGCACCTAATGCAGGAGTATGTCCAGAGCCTATCCAGGGTCTGCTAGAATGAAGAAGAATCTCTGGAGGCCATGAACATACTCTGAGAAGCACTTGAGTTGAGCAAATTGCAAATGTCACTGACATTCAATCTTCTGGACACAGGGGAATGATGGTTCTGGTAATGTCTCACAAGCAGACTGGTGGGGCAGCATTTTTATGTAGGTATGAGATGATCAACAGTGGTTGAATAACTTCCAAATGAGCAAGGCCACTTTATGGAAGTTTGAGAACTGCTTTCCCACATGATGAAGATCAAGAATACCAGAATGAGACCCACTCTGACAGTGGAGAAACGAGTGGTAATTGCCCTGTGGAAGTCTGCAATATCAGACAATTACCGATCAGTTGGGAATCAATTCATAGTGGGGAAATCTACGGTGGGAGCAGTTGTTATCCAAGTAACCAAGACAATCAATACTCTTCTGCTACGGAGAGTAGTGACTCTAGGAAATGTGGCGGATATAGTGGAGCACTTTGCCATGATTGGGTTCCTCTGTTTGGTTACATACTCCCTAAGTTGGTGGATTTGTGCCAGGTGGACAGCTGGTGGAGCCAGGGGAGTGCGCAGCAGGCTCACTGTTGTTCCTGCCATAATGAAAAGTGAAGGACAGACTTTACAGGAGCTACACTGTAGAGTGTAAAACCTAATCTGTTAGAATAAAATGAAGGTCTGTCTAAAGACAATAGGGCCACTGTACAAAGCCACAGTTAAGCTTTTAACAGCCAATACGCAGCAAGTGCAAAGAGTCTTCGGGGAGCAGCTAGACTCAGTTTGGTGGCAAGCATGGTAAGGAACAGGGCAGGGCAGGACAGCCTGTAGACAGGAGGAAAGAGAGGATCCAGGCATGGCAGCAGACAGGAGCCTACATAGTGCCCGTGTGTCCAGCACCCACATTTGCTCGGAGAATGCAACTTTCTCTTCTATCCGGACCAGGTGGGCGGAAGCAGGTTCAGGTGTGGTGGCAGGTCAGGGCCAGGGTTCAAGCCATGCTTCACTGAGGATGAGCAAACTAATGTTTGCTGGAGAGACATCAGCTAATAGCTAAAACTTCTTAATCTACGTTGCCATGCAGAATATCAGTCTTCTCCAAATCACCCAGACAGGGAGCAGATGCTGACTCAATGTGGCCAGAAACCTGCACCTTTTGCTGCAATGATGCCAGACCACTTACTGCTGGCTTGATGTGAAAAGATGTCCTACCATGGAGGACAGAATAAGATGGGCCTTTCCAGAAACCATGCAAGAAGGATGAAAGAGTTCCTGTATGAGAGCTTTATGGAAATATGCAGGGAGCATTCCCACTCCCTCTCCAGCTGGGGATGCCCTACTACAGTGGTCTCCAACCTTTTTACACCCAAGATCACTTTTTAAATCTCAGAGCAGGTGAAGATCTACCACCCCACCCTCTCTATTCTCCTACTGTCCATCACTTGCTATCCCCAGCCCTTACTTACACTCTGATAAACAGCTTATTTTTAAATTATGCGATACATAAAATTAAAATCACGTGTTTATAGTTATGAAATAAATGGTCTGGTTTTTATTCATGCTATTTAAATCTAAAATGAAGCATTTATAATTATACATTTTGTGGGGACAGAGTTCGGGAAGTGGGGACCGCGGAGTGGGAGGGGGAGAGGCCCCTGCATCTCCCTCCTCCCAGGATTCTCCCTTCCACCCCCAGGGAAGCCCCCTCCCCCCCAAGCAGGGAAGCCCCGGGGCCAAACCTCCCCCACGCAGGGAAGCCCCACGCGGGCGCGCCTGCCCAGGGGGCCAATCCCCCCCACCCACACAGGGAAATCCCGCATGCGCGCGCCTGCCCCGGGGCCAACCCCCCATTCAGGGAAGGCCTGCGCGCGCCTTCCCAGAGGGGGCGACCTATTCCCCACCCCCGGCGCAGGGAAGCCCCACCTGCTTGCCCCGGCGCCAACCCCCCCCACACGTGCGCACGCCTGCCCAGGGGGCCAATCCCCCCCACCCACACAGGGAAATCCCGCATGCGCGCGCCTGCCCCGGGGCCAACCCCCCATTCAGGGAAGGCCTGCGCGCGCCTTCCCAGAGGGGGCGACCTATTCCCCACCCCCGGCGCAGGGAAGCCCCACCTGCTTGCCCCGGCGCCAACCCCCCCCACACGTGCGCACGCCTGCCCAGGGGGCCAACCCTCCCCCCCGTGCAGGAAAGCCCCGTGCGCGCCTGTCCCAGCACCAATCCCCCCATGCAGGGAAGCCCCATGCACACGCCTGCCCCAGGGCCAACCCCCCTGCACACCTCCCATGGGGCTGACTCACCCCTCCTGTGCGGTGCAGGGAGCCAATGCTCCCTCCCGCAGTACATCCGGCAGAGCAGCTAGCGCACTTCTAGAATCGCCAGAAATGGCACTAAGCTGCGGGACTTCTGTCCATCCCCAGGAAGCCGGCACTACCTCCATTTTCACTTGAGGTAAATAGCGAATGGGGGCGGGGCAGACAGGACGCCTCGCGAGCGACTGGTCGAGGCCTCGCGATCGACCAGTAGATCGCGATCGACCTGTTGGTGACCACGGCCCTACTGTGTAGGCACAGTGACTGCCACAGATTAAATCTAACTGCCTTCACATTTTTTTATTTTACTAAATGTGGGTTAAGTCACCTGAAGTGCCTTTCCCAGGATCAGTGTCCAACTAGGAGACATCCTGGGAAGCAGGAGGGAGATTGTCACCAAGGTTATAGAAAAAATTCTTGGCTCTCAGTGACATCAGTTGTCCCATTCGCTTACTGACCATTCTCTTCCTCGATGTCCTTCACGCTACTGCCCCGAGACTTGGGAGACTTCCACAGACTGGCTAGGGAAGCTGGTTAGGTCCTCCCGCCCAAAAGGATCGCATGGAGCTGCTCACAGAAGTGGCATGTTTGTAATGATGCTCCAGACAAACCATATGCCTACTGTATCTTTCAGTACAACCGCCTCAGCTCCTTTTATTTTCACTCGGCATTGCTGCATGTCCCTAGCATATCCTCTCTCCATTCTTTGTGATCTTAGCATAGATATCTGCATTTCCTTTACAAGTTCATAGTTCTGCGAGAACAGATTCCTCTCCTCACACAGCAATGAGGTCCAGGATCCCCTGCATACACCCTGGTGGTGCTCATCTGCAACCCTAGGAATTCATGGAGCTCATGGGCAGGTGTGCTGCTCAGGTCTGCTGCCTGCACTGAGGTCTGCTCACCATGCTGACCAACAGGAAAAGAAAATCAAATTTTCCCAGGGCTTTTCCTGTTCACCTGTAGAGCAAGAGTGTTGAAAGTTGTGGCCAGAGCAGTCACTGCAGGGTCTCTCCTGGAGACTAAGAATGTCAACTTTCAAAGCACTGCATCTGCACTACCTCAAAGTCAACCATGCAAGGTTGAATTTAGCAGCTACTCCTCGTGAAAGCAGAAGTACAGAAATCAACTTTAACAGCCCTTCATGTCCAATGGTATGGACTCATTGTTTAGAAAAATCAGCCTAAGCTCCCAGTGTAGACCAGGCCCAAGTACTTCAAGTTTACATCCTCTTGGCATTCACTGTAGGCCTATTTCAAACCAAATAGTAAATCAAAGCGCATGTTAGTGCATGTCAGAAAGATCCACACGGACAGTTAGCACACAGACTAATGTGAGGTAATTTACACACATCACCTTGTTGAAAATTAAATGTTTGTGTAGACAAGACCAAGTGTGATTGCGGCCTCACTGTGTATTCCTCCTCATCTGAAGAGTGAAGTTGCAGCAGCAGACCATGCACTGAGCTATGCACACCACGAACCTAACATGGACATCTGTCCTAGGAAATATAACTGAACCAGACATGCATCTTTTCAACATTCTGTGAGGTTCAGGTCCTAACGTAGGCCTGAGAAATAACACAGATAACTCTAACCTATATAACTAACTATAACAAGAAACTGGA